CAACTGGCTCCTCTCGACGTGGAGGAGCAGCGGCTCTACTCTGAGTCCCTCCCGGATGACGGAGCTTCTCACCCTATCTCTAAGGGAGAGCCCAGMCACCCTGCGGAGGAAACCCATTTTGGCCGCTTGTATCCGGGACCTCGTTCTTTCGGTCATGACCCAAAGCTCATGACCATAGATGAGGGTAGGAACGTAGATCGACCGGTAAATCGAGAGCTTCGCTTTCTGACTCAGCTGTCTCTTTACCACGACGGACCGGTACAGCGCCCRCTTTACAGCAGACGCTGCGCCAATCCGCCTGTCGATCTCCCGCTCCGTTCTTCCCCCATTCGTGAACAAGTTCCCCAGATACTTAAACTCCTCCACTTGAGACAGGACGACACCCCTGACCCGGAGAAGGCACTCTGCCCTTTTCCGGCTCAAGACCATGGCCTCGGATTTGGAGGCACTGAGCCTCATCCCGGCCGCTTCGCACTCGGCCGCGAACCGCTCCAGCGAGAGCTGCAGATCACGTTCCGATGAAGCCAACAGGACCACATCATCCGCAAAAAGCAGAGACGCGATCCTAAGGCCACCAAAACGGATCCCCTCAACACCTCGGCTGCGCCTAGAAATTCTGTCCATGAAAGTAATGAACAGAATGTTTTGTAACTAAATTAGAAAACGACAATTACAAAAGTAAAAAAAAGGCTAAGTTTAAAATTCTTTTTTAAATTAAACGATTGTCATTGTGGATGATGTGGTCCTATTGGCTTCATCAGATCCTGATCTCCAGCTCTCACAGGAGTGGTTCACAGCCGAGTGTGAAGCGACCAGGGTGAGGATCAGTGCCTCCAAATCGGAGACCATGGTCTTGAGCTGGAAAAGGGTAGCGTGCCTCCTCCAGGTCGGGGAAGAGGTCCTGTCTCAAATGGAGGAGTTGGGGGTCTTGTTCACGAATGAGGGAAGAATGGAGCAGGAGTCTCTTCACTTTGTCCWGTATAAAGGTCTGAGCGCTCCCCTCTGGACTGAACTCTATAATTCCTGCATTAATATTGCGTTCAGGTGTTCTTTCCTCAGGGAGAACTTGTTTCTGTTGATGTGATTGGATTTGAAATGAACTCAGATGTTGTGTTTGGAGAGATTTCTGGTCTCTCAGGCATTACCATTGACACCACACAAAGGGTGACTATATTTGGTCTCTTTTTTTTCCTTCTATAAACTTCGATTATTAAAGGAATGTTTATTGCCAGCTGCCTTTCATGACAATTTAAAAAAAGATCTCATGTGATCTGTAAGCACTCAGAATATGTGATGGGGATGTCTCTCAACAATGTGTAGTTAAATATCTGCAAAACAGACCAGTTACAGCCATTTTTTTTGTGTGTGTGTGCTTAGGTATGGGACGGTATGAATTTATGACGGTATGATAACYTTGGGCAATATGACTGTATTATGATTACAGCTCTAAAAATTTTGTTTTGAAATTTGTATTAAAAAACCTTTTCTAATCATAGTCAACTTTATCTTTGGAAGCTGTTTTTAGATCTCAGAGATGTTATGCTGAAATTTGATTTACCTGTGTGCATTTATACTTATAAATTTTAGCATCTGATGCAATTAGGTTATCCTTACATCTAACAGGACAACTGCTTTTCTAATGCTTTATTAGTTAAGACAAATCAGTATAAACTGCACAAGTCTTTTTATTGATGTAATGTATCACTTTGGGAGCTTTTAATTGTGTTTTAAATGACAAAGGGGTGTTTGACGTTGTTGACAGAAGTGTAAGTGTACTAATCACTACAACGTAAAGATATGCACACACAAACAAGAAATCACAACTATGAATGCGTGTTTATGAAACGYACATTCATCTAACGAGCTGCTCGGCTAAAGGAGGCATTCTTTTATCACCTTTCACTTACAGTAAAACTTATCAAATACACAATCCAACAACTCGAAYAGTTTTGCAGACAAGCTGTGACCGGTGCGTTAAGCCACAGCAACACAGTGATATGTTTCACAATCTGATGCTAACGTTAGCTCATTCATTTCAAGATAGCGTAAACTTTACCTGGAGCTGCGATCATGTTAGATGCCTCCACGGTCCACATTGTCATCATCTTTACGGCATCCTAAGTATTTTCATAAAGCTGGATTTATTATTTTAGAAAGGGAAAAAGTTTGTGGAAGGGGAGGGGTCGCAGGGGAAAGTCTGCAGCGGCACAGACCGGAGGAAAAATAAACAAAAAATGCTCATACCGTAGGCACATTATGACAGAAAATTCTAGTGGTTTTGAAACCGTGACTTTTTCATATCACGGTTTACCTTGAAACCGGTATCCGGCCCATGCCTGTGTGTGCTGAACTTAAATAGCTGTGTAGGTCATCTTGAATTAGGCTGACTTTAAAAGTTAATTAATATTAATGTAAGAAATATTTGTGTTCAAAGACTGAAGTCAATAGAAAACCACCACTGTTAAAAAATATGATTGTTAGACGGAATAAAACCATACAAAACTAGAATTCTGGAGTGGGGTTTATTGCCAATTAGATCTGACAGGAAACCACACACTGCCGGCAAAACAGGAAGTTGATCCATTTATACAGAGTCTTCAGTGCCCGCGTTCGCCCCCTACTGACCTACGGCTGAATCACAGGCATTCATACAAAATTCTCACCTACGGTTAAATTTGTGTTATGGATATTTCGGACATGTAACTAATCTATATCAATCAACACAAAATAGATTAAACATTATAAAAAGGAAAACCTAAAAATATTGTGTTGTGCTTTTAACATTAGTACTAAACTCTAACAACTATAAATTTCTTCAATTTAGATGTACTGTACATGGTCTGAGAGTTTCATTAAAATACATCCACAGCTTGATGAGGCCTTTTGCAACAAACAGGGTTGATGCCAAGGTTTTTAACAAAGATCTCAAGATCTCAATGATATATTTGGAATCTGTTTTTGGGATGACTCTCAGCTACTACCRCGCCAAACTTTAGCTCAATATCTGGAAAACTRGCCAAGTTATATCAATTTACATGTTTGGATTCACTGCCATCTTTAATCGAGTAGCTAAAAGGTTGTAGATGTACATATCTGCCAAGTCAGGCTCTTATAGACAGATTAAAATGTCCCTATTAAGTGTTCACCATTCACTATTCTCACTGTTCAAATCAGTTAGGGCCTTAACTGAGTGATAAAAAGTTCTTAGACTAAATAAGGACACTGTCTCAGCTTTGTGGTTGACGTGTAAATATTGTAATAAATATCTGTCACAGATGTGTTGCAGCCYGGGCACAGAAAAGCCTTCGCTGGCGGCTGCTGCGTTCACTGTTGCTGGGAGACGTAAACATGAAATGAGAAGAMTTCAGGAAAAATTAGGGCTGTGTATTGGCAAGAATTTGGCGATACGATACATATCATAACAGAGGGGTCACGATACGATATATCCCGATATATTGCGATACTGTAAGCAAGGCAATATATCGCAATATATCGCGATATATTGCAATATTTTTGTCCAAAAATTCTATTAAATAAAAACCTCTTACTGAAAAAAAAGAAAAGCTAACGCCTGTGTCCAAAACGACAGGCCGGGTCCTCCGGAGGACCCAGACTCCCCGGTCACGGCGGGCCGGGTCCTTGGTAGACCGGGAAGACCGGAAAAAAAGAGGCTGTG